GGGTTTAGGGTTCAGTTAGGGGTTTAGGGGTTTAGGTTGAGGGGTTTGGAGGTTTAGGGGTTTAGGGTTTAGGGGTTTAGGGTTGAGGGGTTTGGGTTTAGGGTTTAGGGGTTTAGGGGATATGTAATATAGGGCCTTAAATACTTACCAATACTATTTTAGGGGCTCCTTATTATAGTTATAGTATAATGGGCTCCAAAATCCTCCTCTGATTATTAAGACTCTATATTACATGTAACTGTAAATATCCCCGCGGAATTGAGGTGCAGATATGCGTGATCGGCTGGAGAGTTTAAAAGGCGAAGTGCACAAGATCAGAATAACATCGCGGGGCAATCAGAATTTCCACAAGTTTAAACTTATCTTGTCCGGCCTACTCGAGAACTAAGCATAGATCCCAAACCCGACCCCCTTAACCCTACTCGAGAGCTCAGTAGATTCTAGCTGCGCGCCGATTTCCGCAACTCCCATCTCAGTGCGAAATCCTGGAGCATCTCTGCCATCCGAAGCACAAACACAGCCAAGATCCGAGCGTGACCCTCCCCCTTTATCGGTTCAGGGGCTTGTAAGGCTTATAGGGTTTGTAAGAGTCTGGGTTTAGGGTTAACAAGAACCCCATCTACCCTCGGTGCTCGAACTCCGGGTGTTTTTTGGGCGATGGTTGAAATCCTAAACCCTAAACCCTAAACTCCGGGTGATTTTTGGGCGATGGTTGAAATCCTAAACCCTAAACCCTAAACTCCGGGTGATTTTTGGGCGATGGTTGAGATCCTAAACCCTAAACCCTAAACTCCGGGTGATTTTTGGGCGATGGTTGTTTGGTAGCCTCCCAAGATGAGCCAGGCTATGCCAAGAAGACGAAGGGCTGCAGTTTGGAGGCACAGAAGGGGGGGCACGCTAAACCTTAAACCCTTAAACCCCTAAACCCTAAACCCCTAAACCCCTAAACCCTTAAACCTCTAAACCCTAAACCCAAAAACCTAAACCCTAAACCCTAAACCCCTAAACCCCTAAACCCTAAACCCTTAAACCTCTAAACCCTAAAGCCAAAACCCTAAACCCTAAACCCTAAACCTCTAA